AACTTCACAATTGCGTACTTGAAATTCATATTTCACAAGCGACGAATAAGCTTAAATGGATACGGTATTTTATACACAGGCTGATTGCCTTTAACGAGCTGTCAAAAAAGTTAACATGTACTATGTTCCTTTTATCCTGTTATTTTCCTTTATCAAAGGATTTACAATAATTATAATCGTTATTTTTATGTAGAACCCGTCCGATAAGAAATACAGAGGCGCTACAATTATTTAATATGTTTTAATGTGTTTATAATTATGGTTCGTGATATTTGAATATTCTTATAGGTTATTAGCCTTATGTGCCTGACTCACGCCGTCGACTTTTTGAGTCTAAGGCATACCGGTTTCTTCGCGATGTTTTCGTTTCCCATCACCGTACGAGCGAGTGCGTTCGCACATAGAAGTCCGTTGGTAAACAGCCAAGGATCGAAGCTCCGATTAGAGTCACACACTGAACCCACTATCACTTCTCTTTATCCAATATAAAGCGATATGAACTTAATACTAGACAACCAGCAAGTTCATATCGGCCTTTTAGGATTAAAAGCTGTAATAGAATTATTATATTTGTATATTGAATTACATACCTACAAATAATATAAAACTCTAAGCCTACATCTTACAAATTATTAAATTAAATGCCGTATCCATCGAGCTTTCACCTTCGTTTGTCATGTTTTAAGACAAGTTTGGATTTATTATTATGAATATAATAATATGAATGTATGTCGAGTAAGTAGGTCGATGCCAAGTTCACTCACTTACGTAACTAATCGTTTATAGTATCAATAATGATATACTTAGAGGAAGCGAACATTAACATAACCTATAATCATTGTTAAAGTTTAAACTTATCAAATGTTTTATTTATAGTAATACAATCAAATTAATGAATCATAGAAAATTGATCGTTGAAGATGAAGAAAAAAGGTTTCATAGAAATAAGTATACGGTCCACAATATGATTATTATTTCATATTTTTAATATCAATACTGTCCAGTATTGTTTATTATTGAAATCTCCCCAAATAGCCAACATTTTCTAAATTGTCAGGAAGAAACTGTCAGATCGCACTTTTACATACATTACTATTGTATTGTTTTATCAACACTGAATCGAATCTTATATTCTTAACATCATCATCATGGCTCTACAGACCCTTGTGGGGCTAAGCCTCCGCAAGTAAATTTTGCCATCGCAATCTATCATGTGCTTCTTGTGTCCAACTTCGAATACCTATTCTTTCGAGGTCATTGACTACTCCATCCAACGCAGCCTCGGTCTACCTTTTCTCTTGCTAGTAGTGAGTTTAATCGCGGTTGGGGTTGGGTTACCTTGGGGTTCTGTCGTCTGCCATTCGGTGCACATGTCCTAACCACTTGAGCCAGTTGCATTTTATGAATTGGAGCGTCGTCAAGAAAGGCCCCAGGTCTGTTTTAAGTCCAAACTTTCTAGGTGAAAACACCGTCCATATTCTTGCCAGTCGTTTAGATATCACCCGTTCGGTTTTTTGAACTTTAGGTTTCATTGTCGATTGGTATTTGGACAGGTGATTAGCCCATCTCAATCTCGACACTTGGCGGTGCCGCCTAAGGCACCATGCCCGGCCCTTAATTTCGGGCTCGATCCCTTCTCTTTTCCGATTTTGCTACTTGAGGATAGGAGTTACGACGTGGACGTGAACAGCTAGGACTGGCTGATTTTACCCCCTGAAACCACGACTCCGGGTGTAGTAAAAGTATTTCTCGGCATTTAGAGTAAAAAGTGATCCCACCAAGATCCAGCGTCTGCTATGCAGATGTTGTTGCATAGTGTCAGTTACCTGACCCCATCTTTTTAACACATTCGGATATAATATCGCAGCGTCAAACTAATAATGGAAAGAATAAATTTTGCGTAATAGCGTCGCAATGACTTACATAGCGTATGGAGGTTCGAATTCTGGTGAAACAGCCATTGTTATGGGTCGGTTCATGACAGATTTAGACACCGATGTTTTATAAAGGGGTCACAGGAATTTAAATAAAATAAGTGTTAACATAAGTGTAACTAAACCGTTTCAAAGTAAAATATATTAAGATAATTTACTTAGGGAAAATACTTAATTGCATTATTTTCTTTTGTTTTTTTTAACATTTAAATACAAAACCTACATTTTACTGTGCGCAAACCCTGAACTGCCTATAAACGCACTCAAAAACTCATTATTCCAAAATGTCAAGTTGTCAAAAGCAACAAAATTTTACACAAATAAACTTTTATCGCCTTAAGATCCTTGCATTAAAAGGTTTAATATTTAATTTCTCACCGCAACATTGGACTCGACAGTTGAGGATCATACGCGATAAGATCGCTACTGTATTACTTAATTATTTGGTAATTGATATGCACTTGAACGTTTTATTTTTGTTTCATTTACGAGGTTGTTTGCGCTAAGATGCATCTGTAAGGTAGCCTCCAAAAAGGCAGTATCAAGATCCGCAGTAATCATTTTAAGTAAAAATCCTAGTGTAATGTACATGCAACAACCAGGCAAAATGTAACCAAGTTTCGAGACTAGTATCGAGATAATTTCCATTTTGATTTGACTCCAAAGATGGGCAAATTTTAACAGATTTTTATTTATACATTTTTAATCTGTGTTTATTTTTAACTTTCCAATGTCATAAACTATAATAGTAAGAAATATGACATATTAATATTTATGTTATGTATATGTTACAAGAACCTAATATCGTTTAAAAAGGGTGTATTTATATTATATGATCTTTTAATGTTGAAAGCTAAAACGTTTTATAATTAAATTAATTGTTTGATGTACGAAAACCCTTCAATGGGATTATATTCTAAACATATGTAAGGTAGAATGTCGTCTGTTCAAACTGAAAATATAACCATCAAACCCAGTACCTCTCGGCACAACCAACACCACGAACGTTCACCACTAACCGCTAGCAACTTCAAATTAACAGTGAACTTCTTAAAAAATTTCTACCCATGGGTTATAAGATACAAATTTGCAAAGATACTTTGCAAAACACTCAATTGAGAATGATTTTGATTCAAACAAAAACTAGTCTGGTTAAAAGCTCTCGAAAGCTTCAAAGAGTACAAAAATACACTTTCGCGACAAAAGTGAGAGCTTTTGTCATAACTTGAATGAAACAAGTAATAAGTAATGATCACTCTAAGCTGATTTGGGTTCTAGTAGGGAAATATTCATGCCGTATAAAAAAAATGTTTTAATAGTGTCGCTTGCGCGTACATTAAATATATTATGGTTTTGATTTTTACAATTATACAACACTTCACATTTTTAAACTAAATCCTTAATATTTAAACTATAAAAAGTATCTTATATTTTGTGTGTGTCACCAATGATATAAACATTATGAACAAATTAATATTCATCAAATAATACTGTTTTTTGACAAGAGTCAAACCAGTGCTAACCACGTGTGTGCAGTGTGTAGGTGTTACCGACATTAGAGGGAATGGTTACGCTGTTTTGTTAAAAGCATATCTGTTTGGAATTACCACTTCTGGCAGCTGGTTCCACAAAGGGGTTTTGCGCGGAAGAAAGTGCGGCAAGCGATATGCTGTGAAACGTCAGGCGGCGAGGTGGAAAAGAAAAGAGTATTAAAGCTTGACGTCCGGTAATGGCATGCATGATATAAACAGTAGATGCAGAGGGAACCAGCATTGTGCCGTTTCAATAGACGTAATAAGATTAATTATCGATCTCATCAAATAAATAATAGATCGCTTATTAATAATGTTTATTGCACATAAATTTTTATTAGATATCCAAATAAATCATTGCTAAATATTTAATTTCCATAATTGTAGGCTAGGCTCAGACACGCGTTTATTAGAGGTCAGTGACACTGCAATTTATCTTTTATTACCTTGATGGAACCATTTCAAAGCCATGCTATTACCAAGGCTCAATTTAATAGGTAATATTATTTCGTATGAAACAGGGTTTAAATGTGCGTTTGATCCATAGCAATATTGTTTTTAGTATATCCAATACTTGTTCGTTATTGATAACATCGCAAGGAAACCTAATGGATGTTTCCTAGAAAGTGACAAAAATACTATGGAATAGCATCGGAGGGCTTCATTCCGTGGGAGTTTTAAATAAAGCGCGACGGAGTGTTGGAATAATATCCCTCCTCCGCTGAAGAGTCTTAAATTAAAGTCTTATTTTAGTCGCAGCTATAAGATTCATCTACTAACTCAACAAAAATCCCACGAAATCTAGTTTTTAATCCGCCCAAAAAAAATCTACTTCTTAACAATTACTCTTAATTTTAACGTAAAATTTTATTTTATTAATTTTACTATACACCTTTACACAAGACTTCATTACGTACACTCGTAACTTTTATTATTATTTTTCTACTAAGTAATTATTACATTCCTTTTCTTTCTTCTGACTGAGGCGCAAACTAGCTTCTGTGGTCTCTGTCAGAATGACCAGCGCTGTGGAACATTCTGTCCAGCATAATGCTGACCCAGGGCCAATGACAGCCACAGCACACACGCACACACTTGAAACGAACCGAATGGAAAAAGGGATTTTTTTTATTGTTTTTGATATCTCTCATTTTTATTTTCTTTGATTATTGTTATTTTATGTGTTTATGTGTGTGTATTTTTGTTTGTATTAAATGTTATGTCTATGAACAAAGATAATAAGGATTAACAAGGTGACTTATGCGACTCTAGACATCGTCATGTCAGTTTTTTATTACTCAGGTTTTACGAATGTGGGTTTTAAATAGGACCTGTCCTGTCCGTTCTTTTTAACAATCTCGTTATTTGGTCTTTACATTTAAACTCAAGTTAAACGGTTAAAGTGCATTGCAGACTTACTCCATTTAAACCCTTTTTATTGAAGACTAACAGTCTAGTTTATACTAACATCTACTATATTTGTACATTCTTATGTTTATGGGTAGGTATTGAAAAAATAATAATAATTTAAAATTTAATGGTAAGCATAATATGGCACAGTTTCATGTACTTCCGAGGAATGATGAGTAATAGCCGAGTCAGGAGTCTTGTAAGAGTAGATAGAGGTAGCAGGGAAGACGACTGGGTGGTGCTCCACTGTGGTCACTTGGTGTAACGGTGCGTGGTAAACGGCAGGAGCGTGGTAAACGGCGGGAGCGTGGTAAACGGCGGGAGTGTGGTATATTGCGGTACTTCCATGGTCTACAACTTGGTTGCTGTGAGTTGATGTTGTCTTCGCAAGAGGAACCATCAATGGTGCGTGGAGTATGTGGCTACTGCCGTGGTCAACCGTTTGACTGCTGGTCGTTAGGGTAGACTTGGCTAGGGGTACATAGTATCCCGGAGCGGCGAATGCGCTTGCTAGAAGTGTGACGAATACCTGGAATTGTATTGAACCATCTTAAGCTCAAATAAAATTTCGCGTAACAACATGCCAGTGTCATACGTGTTCTTATCGTAATGTTTAAATATTATAATTATAACTATAATAATATGTTTACAAATGAGCAGTGTTGGCCTAGTGGTTCAGCGTGCGACTCTCATACCTGAGGTCGTAGGTTCGATCCCCGGCTGTGCACCAATGGACTTTATTTCTATGTGCGCATTTAACATTTGCCCGAATGTTGAAGGAAAACATCTTGAGGAAACCGACATGTCTTAGACCCAAAAAGTTGACGGCGTGTGTCAGGCACTGGAGGCTGATCACCTACTTGACTATTATGTTAAATGATCATGAAACAGATTCGGAAATCTGAGGCCAAGACCTAAAGAGGTTGTAGCGTGTTTTTTTTAAATATGTTAACAAAGTATACCGAATTGACACAAAATACTAATTATCGCGTTGGCACAAAAATAGCCCAACTTTTGGGTGCACTTTTTTAATTGCAACATTATTATCAGAATATTAATCACCTTAAAGGTAAACTGTGAGGCGCAACAATTAATTATGCTATCAAGGTGGCATAGGTTAGAGGCAACGACATTATATGCAAATTTCCAAGGCAACAGATTAGTGTGTTTTTGGCAGGCATTAAAGGCCATTTATAAGATTCTCTTTTGAAATATCAATTTAAATCAGTAAATTAAAATTTTATTTTTCTATAAACTATGACTTTATTTTTCAATGGCTCTGGCACGATTTGTGCATTAGCCAGAGTCAAGTATAGGATTTTTTATAATTCGTGCTTGTCTTTAGAAATTCGACCGTGTCCTCCATGTACGGTTTAAGCACTCGCCCGGTACCGCACACCCCTCCCAAAGGCCGAGAACAAATTTAAATTAAATTAAAACTTGCCCTCGAACCGGGAATCGAACCCGGTACCCCTCACCTAGCTGCCACTTAATAAGACCGCTAGGCTATGAGGCCCCTAAAATGACTTAGAAGTAACTAGATTGTTAAGATTGACACGTTTTGATATTTAAATATAGTTAATTCGTTATCAATGTAAGAATTTAAATGAATCGTATATAACAGAATTGCTATGACCGTATTTTTACTTACGATTTTCTCCATTTTTTGTGAGTACTAAATCCCGACTGATGAGTAATGAGAGGTGTGTGAGCTTTTTATATCTTGAAAAATATCGATCGCCCCAGATATTGAATTACGGGGGTGATTGTGCAATTCGCGAATTGACCGTTTTGTTTTTGCCTTGGTATATGTCAATTAATGATTAGCATAATTACTTATTGAGTACATGTTCAATCGACCATACTCATTTTGATACAATTAGTTTTTAGATTAATATCTACGTGTATGTTGCAAATATCTGACATGTTTTGATGCTATGTATAACATGTATCTGTGGGCGAATGACAACCATTCTCAATATTTATTTGATATACTTCTTATTAATGTCGCATAATATGTATTCTTCAAAAATATAAATTCTAAATTGATTTTAAATATTACTACTAATATACGACATATGTGAACATTACAACATTATGATATTGAGTGAGCTATAGGCAATAATAGGTTATTCCAGATTTTTTAAACTGGCGATTCAGGCATTGTACCTTGGACTTCTGTATCTGTTTGGTTATCCTTTTAATAGACATATAGGTCGTAGGTAGGATCAGTATTCTACACGCCGTAGATTTTTTGGGTTTGAAGGGTTTTCCATCACTGTACGAGCGGTATCAAATGCCATATCTATTGATTCACAACCGTGATTCAAACTTACGACCTCAAGGTCAAGTCGTCCGTTCAAGCCACTAGGTCAACACTAGTATTTCATCCCATTCCAAATCCATTCCAATGGACAGGACATGGATGGATTGGGTATGAGGTTGTGGAAGAAGTTTACACATAAACACAAATCAAATTAATAAATTCAACAATTTCGTTTTGGTTATTTAATGACACAAAAATAGAGACAAATCACATTCTAAGACTAATTGTGGAAATATGACACTTCATTATGGAAATTAGTTCGTAGACAATAATAATGTTAAATACATTTTATAATCCCTATATCGAAATATAAAATTCGTTAAAGCTCTGAAGAAGTTAATTTAAATCATACATAATCGTCTACGAGCTTATTTAACGTCTTACAGTATTAGATGTGCAATAGATGACAATAAAAAGGCAAGTCATGGCATCTATGGGTCCAACACAATTCACCGTTACAACAAAGCTATTGGTAACCTTCAACTTATCGAATTTTGAACTTAGATGACGACACCAAGTATTGTGCTTATTGTAAAGCTGCTCATTCGTTAGACTAGGATAATTACAATATGCTGCGGAAATTACAAATACGTCGCTTAGAATTACCGGCCTTTCTTAATAAAGTTAATTTAAGAAAATTGGTATTTGTTTTTATGATATTTGTCTATTATTTATAAACAAATGAATATTGTAGACGCATCTTCAAGTGTGACGCAATTTTGTTGCGTGTCACAATAGTAAACAATTACTCTTCATTGATTTTGCATGTATTAAATGAAATCCTGGGATTCAAAATACTAGTATTAAGATTAGGTACAAAATTGCTGTAATACAAAGTTTTTTTTGGGAATTATTTTTTTTTTTTTTTGGGAGTGAAAAAGATTGAAAGTCAATAATCTAATATCGATGCACAAATTAATCATTTATAAATAATATGTCGCTTAAAATTTCCGACCGATAAAATAAATGAGTAATTAATTTTATGATATTATAAGAGTTTAACGAAATAGTGTTTCTTAACGTTATGTAGATTTTAATGATGAAACTGTAACACCACTTGATCATCACTTAAAAGTTAAAAGCTTTATATGCATGTTCGGAATTCGATTTTGACAGCTTGATCTTCTCACAACACAACTAGAACTGTACAGATTTTTTATTCAAAGTGGCGTTTGTGTTTTGGATGAGCTTATAAGCTAAACAATAATGTTACACAGAAGGATAAAGACGCAAGGAACAAATGGCTATTTGATACCTTCTTCGTTTCTTGCATCTTTGTAGCTTGTTACATGGACAAAGGTTGTTACAATAACAGTTTTTTAATTGTTATAAATTATATAAAGCAAGTGATGATTGATGATTAACAAATGTTTGACGTCAAGTATAACCTGGGGTCTCAGATCATAATAAGAAAGATAAGAATAAAAACTTAAAAATAACATTATACAATACAGGGTTCTATTACTCCTGTTAATGTTAAAGAGTTAACATTTGTTTCAATTAAAAGACAGTAATATCATGCTATATACACAGTTATTGCTAAGAAATACAATATATATACATAATACATATTATAAACTTATATGATAAAAATAAATATTGAATTTAATATAGTAAAACTTATAATGTAAAATAAGAGGAAAAATTAAAATAATTAAGTCAGCTATTTTAAAATATAAATAAATAAATTGACTGAAAAAATGTTGTTTTAACAAGGTAGAAAGTTGGTGGAGATCTTGTTTAAGATACTTAACAAGGTAAATTAAGCTTATGGCTAACTTGTAATTATGTACTAAAAATACCAACAATTTATCGCAATAAATTATGCTAAGTATGAAAATATAAATCGCGCTGCTTAAACGATGTGTTAAAGAGACATTTAGTTTGTAATAATTGTGCAAGTTTTTTGTATTACCACCCTCAAAAAGAGAATCAGTTTAGTCAGTGTTTTAACCTTAGTGAATGGTTTGGCCATAGCACCAAACCATGTTCGCTTAGAAGCGCGGCATATAAAATAAAACTAGCCATGATGATCACCAACCTTCGCAAGGAGATGGCACTATAAGAAGAAATAAGAAGTGTCAGTGTTTAAGTTTTTATAGTTCTCAGCTCAGCCATACTTCACCATATTTTGCATGTCCTTCGTCACTTATAAATATATTATAGTTTATATAATAAACACATCAATACAACTAGAACTGATGTAATATGAAAAATTTAAAATGTAAGAAACAAAAGTTTTTTTTCATATATAAAAGCGGTGCAACTGAACCCACGGAACGCCCAAAAGGAGCAGTACCAAATACCTTTTGTATTTATAATTTAGGTAATTTTTTTAACGTTATTGATTTGTTTCTAGAACTATTATAATCCTAAAGTATGTTTTTTTATTATACCTGTTTCGATTCCCGAAGTACAAGTTTAGATAATAAAACGAGCAAGATAATGAAGTTGCAGACAATTTAAGTAGTTCTTATCGTAGCTTATCGCGCATCTGTAAAAGGCATCATAACGAGCAACGCATATTCCAAACAATAGCCCATAAAACGCCGTATATGAGACAATTTCTTCATTAACGATTGAAGCTTACAATGAGTTTACATCATTCGCATTCCTTGATTTTAAATGTCATTTAATTCATTAAACCCTAAGAAGAATATACAATAAATGAGACATGGGAATGGAATTAAGGGGCACAGGCAATCTTACATATTATAAAATAAAGTCCATAAAAAGCTTCCAAACGCAAACATCAATCGATTGTGGTTTCCTGAGGAAGCTTTAAGTCTATAATTTATTGTGGTTTTATGTAAATTGACTAATATTACAAGAGGTAGCAAGAGAACACGAATTCCGTGCGGGAGAATCTGTGGGTGCGAGCTAGAAACTAAATATCTCTGCATATATTTCATGATTATTTCTGAAGAAGAGATGTATGTGTCTGACACTTATCGTAGGGTACTAAGATAGGTTACCTCACCTTTTTTGCCTTACAAGCGAATGGTAATCGCACACAGAAAGAGTATTCGAACGCAGGATTTGAGAGAAACACGCTTAGCCAATTATGAATAAGAACGTATATTCTTTAGTCCTTATTTTAAATATATCGTAGGCTGTCACGTTTTGCGTGTCTTTTACAGATTTATTTTATAGACATATTGTTCATGATATGGTTTTACATGTAAAATTTGGGAGCAATTTATTTCTCAAGTCGTATTTCAAGCTAAGTGGAAGATCATTTGCATATAACTTTTTTGTAATATTTTATCATAATGTTTCATCGTCGGACGTCGAGGCAAAATACATAATTTTACCTGTATCCCCTCGACGTCCGTCGTTCCACAATCTTTTTAAGCCCTTTTTTCCGGGCACCGCTAGTATTTGGAACCAGCTAAAGTATTTCCGAACCAATTCGACTTAGGGTCCTTCAAGAAAATATCGTACCAATTCTTAAAAGGTCGGCAACGCACTCGCAAGTCCTCTGGCATTAAGAGTGTCCATGGGCATTTTTAGCATAATTTAGTATCAGGTGAATGATACCCACCAATGAGGAATACAAGTTTGTCGTTATCGTTGTGCCTACAAACACGAAATCTTCGCCAACATAGATCCAAAACCTCCAAAGCAACCACTAATCCATAGGCACAAACACGTAGCTTTTACTTTTGTTGGCATTGGGCAACGCAGTTGACTGTAATAAGAATAATCAAAGTCATAAATCATTTTTTACGGCCATGTGTTCACACTTAACACAATAAAGCGCATAAGAAAAATTAAAATATGTTGAATATGCCACACTCGGTGGGCAGTTGCATATAATTGATAATATTTCATTTAAATGGCCGAGACGATTACACACTGGCCTTTAACCTCTTACGAGATCGAAATCTTCTTTTTGCGTAAGTCTTTTTGTTTATTTTTGTTCTTTTCTATAGTCCGCTTTTGATAATAAAAGAACAGCTATCAGAAGAACAAAAATACCTAAATATAATAGCAGTATTGGTCTTGTGGCTTCAGAGTGCGACTCTCATCCCTGAGGTCGTAAGTACGATCCCCGGCTGTGCACAATGGACTTTCTGCCTATGTGCGCTTTTAACATTCGCTTGAACGGTGAAGGAAAACATCGTGAGGAAAAACCGACTCCCTTTAGACCCAAAAAGTCAATGGCGTCAGGCATCAGGCTGATCACCAACTTACCTATTAGAAATTATCATGAAGCAGATACAGAAATCTGAGGCCCAGACCTAACAAGGTTGTAGCGCTACTCGTATCTATCATCTTTTATCAGCTGAGTTGTTTTACAAATCAGCTGCAGGATTTTCTCATTTATTCATTCA